GGCTTTTCCAGCTGCAGCTGAACTAGTTTCAACATTTTATTAGAATTTTTCTTTTTTTTTTTTTTTTAATTTATGATCAAGTACAAACCCATCTACCTTTGACAGCTTGTCTTGTTGCTCACAGTCCTGCACAATATTTGGGGGCAAGCCCCAACAGATGTGCTATGAGGATCTATGTATGTCACAGACGCTGTTGATTTTATACCACAGTACAACTTGAGTGTGTTCTCACGTTGTAGGTAATGTAGACTTTCTCCCCTCTTTTTTTTTTTTTTTTTTTAAATAAAACCAGCACCCCTACCAATAGTCCTTGAAGTGCCAGGGCACAACAAGGGCATGAATCAAGGATGAAAGAACAATAGTTGAAACAAAAGAGACTTGTTAGGAATGGCTATAGACACATTTTGTCTTGGCTCGTTTACTAATGCCGATTTGTAACAGAAAATGCAACTCTTTGTATCCGGACAGATTTTAACTCCTGTTATCATACATTAAAATTGAATTGACTTCTACTAAAGATAATGCAAATTCAATTTGTATCCGTTTCAAAACCAGTAATTTTAATCTGGTATTTTTGTTTTCTTTTGCTCCTCTCAGTGTTTGGGCCATTATTATATATCACTGCTCTATAAACCTTCGTAATTCTCTCGGAAGGCCTACACACCATCTGGTATGCTCCTCTTGATCACTGGCATAGGAACAAAACCGTAGCTTAAGTAAAAACAAGCCAAATGTAACAGCTCTAATGTTGCATATAAAGCAATTCCGTACACAAATAGATTCTTTTCAAATTTCTGCTATCATTCTTGCAAAAAATCTCACAAATCATCTTTCAAAACAATAGCAGGCAGCAATCTGTCAGTTCTCCAGTAAGCACGAGCTGTCTAACCGGTGTCATTAGTGCCTGCAAAAAGACATTTAGCCTGCCTTGCTTGCCAGGAATTCACGATGGCTTGTTAATAATACTAATACCTACCAATTACCTAGTCTTTTCAAGTTCAAAGCACTGTAAAAACCTGAAATAATATGCTGCAGCATTTTCTAGGTTCATGCTAATTCCTGCTAACACAATGCTTTTAAAATCGGACGTGTTCTGGAGTGTTGGAATTTAATCCCTTTCATTTTCACTGTTTTCTTAGCTTGTGCTTGCTTTCTCTCCCAGGTTCTGGAATTTGTGTCTTTTTTTTTTTTTCTTTTTCTTTTTCCCCCAAGGCTGGTAGTCCTGACTGCCTTGTTGAGTCACAAACACAGACTGACCTGGGTGCATGCTCCCCTTTACGCTTGCTTTCTCCAGTTTCAGCTTTCTTTTTCTTAGCTCTTCTATTATTACTTTCAGCTTTTCAGCTTCAGGGCCTATTTGTCTCTGTACATTTACCACCATTGTTTGACTGTGTCCTTGAAGCGCGTCAAGCAATGTGGCTTAACATCTACCACACGTGTATTTTGTTACCCTCTCCTCACGGAAGGGGCGGTCTAAGTCTTGTCAGAATTATTAAGCTATAGATGTTTATATGTGTTGCTATGAGTTTGTGTCAGGCAATCACATCAGAGGTGCTCGCACCCAGCACTAACACTTTGCAAAGAAGCTGTGAGCTTTGTGATGGTTATCAGGTCCCGGGAAGGAGACAATTCAAACTGTCCTCATGGTCCATCCTTTTCCTTCCTATAACCCCCCCCTGCTTAGCTTCTTTGTACCTACGGACTGCTTTATTCCCATTTTTGGGGGTGACTGGCCTTTCAAGTGGGTGGAGTTTCAAGTTGGTAGTAACCCAACCCTGTGTTGCCAGGCAGATCCCTCTCCCCTTCTCAGACTGACCTGCTGTTTGCATTATTTATCTTAGATACGAGCTGCAAAGCAGAATTCTCCTATGAGTGCCCTACAGCAGTTGCCTGTTTATATGTCAGCAGTGTCTCTAGCCCAGGCGCTCACCCTTCTCCAGCACAATTTAGCCCTCCTCAGAGGACAACCTCAGATGATCTCTGCACCGTCTACTGTTCCACCACCAGCCACATCTGCAAATCCCACTTGTGCCTTGGCATCCACCTCTGTGGGGGAAAGCTGTCTTTGGTTCAATTTACATGTTCAGCTGCAACTTATTATTTGAATTTTGGATTAACACAATGCAGCTTCCAACCAATTTCAACTCATCTGCTATCCAAATCACAGAATGGCAAGGGTTGGAAGGCACCTCCAAAGATCATCTAGTCCAACCCCCCTGCTAAAGCAGGTTCACCTAGAGCAGGTTGCACAGGACATCGTCCAGGCAGGTTTTGAGTATCTCCAGAGAAGGAGACTCCACAACCCCCCTGGGCAGCCTGTTCCAGTGCTCTGTCACCCTCGAAGTAAAGTTTTTCCTCATGTTCAACTGAAACCTCTTATGTTTCAGTTTGTGCCCACTGCCCCTTGTCCTGTCGCTGGGCACCACTGCAAAGAGTCTGGCTCCATCCTCGTGACATCCGCCCTTAAGATGTTTGTATGCATTGATAAGATCCCCTCTCAGTCTTCTCTTCTTCAGGCTGAACAAGCCCAACTCTCTCAGCCTTTCCTCACAGGGGAGACGCTCCAGTCCCCTCATCATCTTTGTAACTTTCTTCTGGACTCTCTCTAGGATATTAGATCAATATTTGATTTGGAGGCACAGTATCTTCACTGAAGCTTGATTTGGAAAGGGCTTCCTCCAAATCCTTTTACTCGTCAAAGCTTATCTGCCTGTTCTGTACCCAGTTTTTATTTTTTTGCTCTAGCATGGATCAAAATGACAAACTGTGCTGCCGCAGCCCTGAGGCTGGAGTAAGAGGCGACGCGACTGACAAATACAAGAGACGGGCTTGTCACTTGGATGTGCGAGGTGGAAAAGCCTTTTGAAGCCCGTACCGCTTCGCCTTGCCACTTGCCTGATGGGAAGGGCAGGAGAACTGGAATTGGGCACAAGCGAGTCAAACCAGCTGCTCGCGCTGGGTGAACGCGACCGTCGAGCACCACGACGCATTGTAAAAGGCACAGCGGCAAAGGGAGCACCAAAGAACTTCTGTGAGAGCCCCCTTCAGAGAACCAAACTTTAGGATCATGGTGATGACGATTCAGCACGAGGTAGCCAAGACCTAGATTTGCTGACTACTGGTGACAGAAACTAACTTTGATAGATTTCCAGGTAGAGGTAATGTATGCGTAGGTGGCGTTTCTGGCAATACCCACATCACCTCCAGCTTTCAGGCTGCAGCAAGTTTGCCTGACATCACAGCCAGCCCTGCCTCCATCCAGCTGGGTAGTTAAGTAACGCTGACAGCGGCACGTAACCTAGCACAGCACAGCCATGACCCGCGCCCAGCCGTTTGGGCTACTTCAATTTAAATGGCAAATAACATCAGTGGTGAAGGAGCTCCCTGCGAGCCCTGTGCTACAGAGCTGGCGTGACGGATGGGGAAGTGGCTTTTTTTTTTTTTTTTTTTTCCGTTTTTCTGTTAGCTAGCACAACCTCTCCAGAACGTTTTTAATAGCTGCTGCACCTGGCTCCACAGCGCAATAATTAATTTCTGCCAGGCCTCAAAGCACTTTATTTCACAGGTGGCTAGCATCTGAAGGACAGCTGCGCAAAGGTAGTTTCGGTACATCTCTGCCGCTTACAGTACGTGAGGACACCGTTTCAGCCCTGGCAACGTTCTCGGTGCAGCGCCAGCCGCCCCCCTCGGGCCTCGGCCTGCCCAGACCACGCTGCCCGCGCACCGCTGCTGCGTGACGTCAACCAGCATCCAGAGCCAGGCAGCGGGTCCTGACCCAAGACGGCCAGCGGAAGGCTTTTTCCACCTGCCCTGCCAAAGGGACCCCTGGAAGCAGGGTGAGGAACCCTGGCAGAAAGCTGCCCTAAGTCCTGTGTTTCACGGCTTTTCCCATGGGCCCTTCCGCAGTCCCCCACCCGGGCTGCCAAGCGGTGCCCGGCGGTGGCGGCGGCGGCAGCAGAGGAATGCGCAGCCGTTTGGTAGCAAGGCGGCA